TTAGGACAATCAATCGTAGTGATGAACGACAGATCGCGGTTGCTTAAATCGACTGCAGCTTTTTCATAGTTGGTTATTGTTTTTGTTTTGGCAATTTTACTTCTACTCAGATGGCTGTTCAAATTAAACAAAATAGGTAAGTGATCAGTTATGAGGAAATCTATCACAAAAGTTTGCGATTCGTGTGGAGTTTTTAAAAGGACATGATCAATACAGTTGTTTAGTCTAGTTGGTAAAGTGTGTGCTGGAAGTAGACCGTTTTCTGCCATGAGATTCAGATATTCGTCACAACGTTCATCACCAGAATTTGGTTTGATGTCAATGTTAATGTCGCCTACGACAATTATAGTCTTGAAGTTAGCCAGCGCTTTTAGGGAATTATCGAGTGACAGTAAGAATTGATTGATGTTTTTAATTGATGGTGATCTATATAGACATAGAATAGCGACTTCTTTTTTAATTTCAATTAGAAGGCAATTGGCGTCTTTGAACGGCAATTGTTCCAGCTTACATGTGATATCTCTTGATATGTAAATAACGACTCCATCATTTTGGTTATGTGTTATTTGGGAATGATAAAGTTTGTAATTTTCAAAATGTGGAGGAGGTTTGAAGTCCGTTAGCCAGCATTCCGTTAGGATCAAGATATCACAAGTGACATTTAGTATTTTAAGAAAAGATGCAAATCCATCGAGGTTACGGTAAATACTTCTAATGTTCTGAGTTATTATTTTGAGACCGTTGTGATAGTGCTTAAGTTTGTTTTTACAATCTTTTGGTTCAATTACCATAGCATCAGACACAGTTAGGCTATCTAGTTCGGTGTTTAGGTCGGTTAAGTCGAATTTTGCTGAGAATGATTTACTGGAGTATATAACGGACTAAGATTTTGTATAGCGAATTGAGTAACACTGGAATTATTATAAAATTGTTTTGAGTAGTATGTGTGTGCGGGTGTTACGAGTTGTATTTTGTAAGTTTTGTGTGTAGTGTATTGTTTAGTTGAGTACGAGTGAGTGTAGAAGTGGTTAGTAAATGTGCAAGTGAAATGAGCGCCGTAAAAAGAGATAGGTACATGTAGGACCATAACTAAGCAAAGAATACATACAGAATAAGGCCCGTCTAGTCACTTATCAGAGGTAAAGTTTAGCTTCTTAATGTCGTCCTCACTGTCCACTCTCAGCACTCTCGTATTGCTTTCCTTGCGAAGAAATATATGTCCATTCTTGGTCCAACAGAATTTATAACCGTTTTCAGAGGCGAAACTACGTGTTTGTGCATACAGTCTTTTGGTGATTGCTGGTAAACTTTCAGATATGTAGATTGTTTCTGTACTGTACTGTTCCACTGAGGCCGAGATGCTGAGTTGTCAAGTTTGATTTGTTATTAGTACGAAATCTTCTTGCTGATTCTATAAATGTTTCTTTTTTGAGTACAGTCATAAATTCGACGATAAGTGTCGCTTAACTTCAAACTCGGATAAATCCACTTTACCCTGTTCGGAGATATTTAATAAAAAGTGTTTATAGTCTTATTTTCATGAATTAAAAGGCAGTTCTTTTTTATTATGGCACTACTATTGAAATAAATGATCCTGTTTATTCATTTCAGTATTTAAATCACGCATTCTCCCAAAAATTTAATATTTAGTTTGGATTTACCTTCATTTGATATAATGGAATGCAATTTATCCAACTTTGAAAAAACACAATGAGGATTTATCTGATTTTGATTTAATAGATTCGGATTTATCTAGTTATGAAAAAACACGATTAGAGCTAGGGATGTGGTAGCACATATTGTGGTAGTGACGAAATCACGGTATACCTACCATCGACAGTCAAATTAGTAGCAGCAAACTGAATAGAATAATAAAACAAAATAAGAAAATCTAATTTTTATTTTATAAAAATAGGGAGTACCCAATTTAATAATTTCAAACAAAATTCAATATTTCTTCACTCATCTTCTTCAATTTCTTCTTCGTGAATTGGTCGCCCAATCACATTTTCAATATTAAGTATTTTTTTATAATATTTCAATTCCACCAACAATGCCCATTATGCCCAATTGGCTATAGTGCGTTTCCAGCCTCTAACTTAAAGGAAAAAAAATGTTAGTTTATTTAAATTAGTTAGTTTAATTAATTTAAATAGATCAATATTTTATTTCACACTCAACATTTACAAATTTATTATATTTAGCAAAAAACTGCAAAACATATCCAGACGACCCAACTCCACAAAGCACGTCTTATATTCTAAAATTTACATGATTATACCTACACAAATTTGATCGGAGAAATAAATGTACTCAATATTAGGTATATCATAAACATACTTACGTCAAAAATAATCTGTAACAATAGAAGGACAAAATAATAATCGAAAACGGTTAACACAACACTAGTGCCAACTCTAAATTCCAAACGACGCACAGGGATAGGTATTTCAAATTTGCCGAGTTTTCGCTCTTTCCTCTTTCTTATGGCGAACTTTTATTAAGCCACTTGCGGGCTTTAGTTGGTGACACAATTTTAATATAATTATCCATGGGAACTGTCTGAATATCGCAAATAAACGATAAAAAGCGGGAGCGCATGGTGCCACTGGTCGCTGAGTTTTCGTCAACTGGCGGCCATGTTGAAGAAACGCAATTACCTGATTGGCTCTCATGGACTTAGCTGCGTTTGAAAAAAAATGTCTCATGGATCTATCTGTCTTAGATAAAATATTACGACTTTAACGGCTTATTTCTCAAGAACCACGCTGATTTATACACGACTGATAAAAATGTTTAAAACATATTTTTATTCTCTTTCATTTGACACCAAAATCTCAAAAAATCTTAGAATTGGATTTATCCGAGTTTGAAGTTAAGCGACACAATTAATGGGTTTCTTGTTTGACAATTTGGACTCATAACGAAATAGGTCTTTGATGTCGTTAGTTTCGATTGTCGAGTTGGTTGCCACCCCAATCGTTTTAACTATTTTCAACAGGTCTTCTTTCGTTTCGGGGATTTTCTGTGGGAGGTTGCGTATTTCAACACTTGTATTTCGGTTGGATCGTTCCAAAGTTGTAATTCTGGATTCCAGTTCCCTGATGTAGGTCATATCCTTCTTTCTGTCCTCTTCATTCTTCATCAGTTGCAATCTTACTTCTTCATATTTTTGTGACATAAAGTCTAGGGATTTTGATATTTCAAGGTTTTGATCTTTAATTTCCTGCATTGAAGAATATAGGGATTCGAATTTGCGGTTCTGTTCTTCACGGTTAGTCTCACCAAGTGAAAGGTTCTGAGGGGTCTTGGTATGCTGGTCGGTATCGACGATTTCATACAACTTCGCTTTCCGTCCGGTGTAAGTTGGGCTGGGGTCAGCTTATAGTTGACGCGATCGAGCAATTAGTACAAGTTGGGTGTCAGTTTAACAAGACCTCCGTGGGTGATGAATTCGTCAGTAATGGCAATGCCAGATTTTGTATGGAAGGTGGCGTCTTTTTTTTTTCGCGCGGCCATCGACCAAACTTTGTTTTTTGATTACAAAATAGTGTAATAAACCAAACTTACTATGACATATATACCTCTAAACTCAGTCTGAACTCAGTTACGAGCATCAGAAGTTTAATGATTTTCATACTAGATTTGCTTTTTGCGCGCAAGTTTTGTAAGAAATTGCAACAAAATATTGCGCTATTTTTTTATTGCGCTGATTCTGCTGCATACTGATGTCTGGAGCCTTTAATGGATGGTATTGTGTGTTTACACATACAATGTNTTTCTGTAGTTCCACTGAGGCCGAGATGCTGAGTTGTCAAGTTTGATTTGTTATTAGTACGAAATCTTCTTGCTGATTCTATAAATGTTTCTTTTTTGAGTACAGTCATAAATTCGACGATAATGGGTTTCTTGTTTGACAATTTGGACTCATAACGAAATAGGTCTTTGATGTCGTTAGTTTCGATTGCCGAGTTGGTTGCTACCCCAATCGTTTTAACTATTTTCAACAGGTCTTCTTTCGTTTCGGGGATTTTCTGTGGGAGGTTGCGTATTTCAACACTTGTATTTCGGTTGGATCGTTCCAAAGTCGTGATTCTGGATTCCAGTTCCCTGATGTAGGTCATATCCTTCTTTCTGTCCTCTTCATTCTTCATCAGTTGCAATCTTACTTCTTCATATTTTTGTGACATAAAGTCTAGGGATTTTGATATTTCAAGGTTTTGATCTTTAATTTCCTGCATTGAAGAATATAGGGAGTCGAATTTGCGGTTCTGTTCTTCACGGTTTGATGACATCATATTCCTCATATCCTCCATGAAATTCCTAAATTCCTCCTCGACAACGTCACCCCTTTTTCTTTTATCCTTCCGTAACGTGATGTTAGTCTTGGCGGGCATGCCCTCTGCGGTGGTGGCGGGGCCGGGGCCGGCATAATGTTCCGATATGTTCGTTAAGTCAGGTGCTGAGCAACTAGTTTCCTTCGATGGAGAGTGAATAACTGACATTTTTGTATGGCAAAAATCAAAAGTTAGTCTCACCAAGTGAAAGGTTCCGAGGGGTCTTGGTATGCTGGTCGGTATCGACGATTTCATACAACTTCGCTTTCCGTCCGGTGTAAGTTGGGCTGGGGTCAGCTTATAGTTGACGCGATCGAGCAATTAGTACAAGTTGGGTGTCCGTCTAGTTTAACAAGACCTCCGTGGGTGATGAATTCGTCAGTAATTTGTAGTGGGCACGACCGAACACCTCGGCGATCCACGAGCGAGAGGAATTCATTTATTCACTTAAGGATCAAAAGGACTGAAAGAACGCCAATATCATGCAGTGGCTGGAACTAGGTGTAAAAGGAATATGTAAAGTTCATTCATATTACAGTTAAGCTATGGAAATGATATTTTATTTGAAACCTACGTTCATCGCACGTTTAACTTTTTTGCAATATGTTCGTAAATAACTCACCGTTTTAAGTAATGAATGCCCTAAGCCCAGGGTATTTGCCTTCACTTCTGCTTACCTTGGACGACGTAGTTAAGCTGCCTGAGTGCTGTGCTGATGATGGCGTCTTCCTCTTTGGTGACGCGACCGCGCGGCCACATGCCTCGCAGCTCGCTCACTAAGTTCTCGTAGATTGGACGGTAGTAGACTATTTTGTAGGACTTTGCCATGGCTAGAATAAGAACAATTTATTTCAACGACTATTACTATTTCTAAGAAGTATTTATTAAGAATTTGGCAACATAAATCATCTTGGTACAGCCAGCGTCAAATAGTTCGTGACACCCAAAGTGGTCAAGGATAAAACAACCAACAATTGATAAAACAACCTTATTCCATGTAACAAAGACGTGTAGCGAACTTATTGGCTACTTTAGGTACTCACGAACTACGAGTATTTGACGCTGACTGACCTACGTTCGTTAACTTCTGCCACTGTTAATGAAATATCATAAAAGACTATAAAAGCATCAGCGATAATAGGTGGTGGTAGGTTAAAAAGCAGAGACAGCCGATTCGAGCTAGTATTGTATAATTATCTACAAAAACAAATTTAAATTGACTGGTCATGTATTAATCAAAGCCTGAAGGAGGGTAGAATGTTAATTATCTCCACGTTGTTTGTAATTAACATCGGTCAATCCTAATCCTTTACGTGACAACGTGATGTGTTGATTACTTCATTACGAAATTTTTTACGAAAAATATTTTTTATCATACTTACGTACCTACATAATAACGAACATAATATTCGTTATGTTATATTTTGTATCATACGCCAAGACACATGGGAATAGTTGTTAAGGTCAATACGTTTTAGATGGGAATAAAATGAGATTGTGATACATAACAAGACATATGTAATACCTTATATTTCATAACGATGACACGTTTTTCTCATGATGATAAGAAGACCGAATAGATTGTGCTTCAAAATATTACAAGTTCTGTGCTATTATACTCGTATTAGATTCTACAGGCAGTAGAACAGCTCCCAGCAGAATCTGATCATCATTAGTGACTAGCTCGACCCGCGGCTTCGTCGGCGTATTACATCTAACTCAAAGGATGTTCTAAGAGGCGACTAAAGGATAAATACGCGAACATCAGACCTCCTTAGCCCATTCAGTCAGCATACATCCTGTAGGCCAAATCCACCGTTTACCTACCTCTATTAAGTAAACTAGCTTTCCGCCCGCGGCTTCGCCCGCGTGGAATTTTGTCTGTCACCGAAATACATTACCGTGCGCGTCCCTGTTTCAAAAACCGGGATAAAAACTATCTATGTCCTTTCCCGGGAGTTAAACTATCTCTATGCCAAATTTCATCAAAATCGGTTGAAAGCAAGACAGACAGAGTTCCTTTTGCATTTATAATATTGGTATGCGTAGTTTAAATTTATAGCAGTAAAACTAAGACACAAATCATTTTAGGCACTCTTACACAATTACGACAGCTTCTAGCTGCAACTGCATACTGACAACTGTTTTCTACATACACACATACACGGTACTGCTCGAGCAGTTGTGACTTGTGANATACTGACAACTGTTTTCTACATACACACATACACGGTACTGCTCGAGCAGTTGTGACTACTTCGGCACGGTGAAATTTCAGTTGCCAGGTATATTTTATACTGACTGCTCGAGCAAATATTACAAAGTAGCAGTGGTTCCTCTTCCTCAAAATCAATGTTGCTACTGATTTGAATGAAAATGAAATTGTGACCTGTTGAGCAGTTTCACTACCAACTACTCCAGCAGTTACCTATCAATGGTAGATTCAAGCTGTTGACTGGCTGCAAAAGCGGTCCGTGCCTTTATGTTGACCACTGGCTAATTGCTCGAACTGTCCGTGTATGGCGGGCCCAAACAGACTAATTTTTGCGCATGATAATTTATTATATGAAAGTTCTGTAGCTCTACCATAAGTTTAACCTTACCAAGTGCGTACAAAATGTATGGCAGATTGCACAGCGCCCCTAGCGGTGAACGGCAGAAGTTTGTGTAAGTTACAGTTAGTAGCAGCTAGTGGTAAAGTTTTTTTGCAGTTTTACAAAACACTCCATCCACTATGTCATCCACTCCATCCAATAGGTACCTATCCATATTTCTGCTTACAAATCCAGACATAAGTGTAATAAGTTATATTATGGTAAATTTATGTTCAAATTTAAGCAAAAAGCATTCTGTGTTTATAAAATATAGCTTTCCGCCCGCGGCTTCGCCCGCGTGGAATTTTGTCTGTCACAGAAAAACTTTATCGCGCGCGTCCCTGTTTCAAAAACCGGGATAAAAACTATCCTATGTTCTTTCCCGGGACTCAAACTATCTCTATGCCAAATTTCATCAAAATCGGTTGCGAGGTTTAAGCGGGAAAGCGTAACAGACAGACAGACAGACAGACAGACAGAGTTACTTTCGCATTTATAATATTAGTTGGGATTAGAGTGTCGTGCTCCTGCAAATGACCCAATGATGATGGCTAACCTTAGCAGCAGGTAGCCGACTCACGGCATCATCCGTAAGATCTCGACCATGCGTTCTGAAAACCACCTGGAAGGAGTCTGGAACAAGAACTCGAACCATTAACCAGGTTCCAGTCCTCCGCAGGTCCATTGGCCAGGTCCCAGTTGAACCAAATCATTATTTTAGTAACTAATAGCATATGGCCGCGGTTTCACTTGCATGTAGGATATGTCTTAAAGGTAGACGTTGTTTCCACCTAGTGGATACATATGTCCTGAAAGCCCAACGTGATACACTACAGGGTTTACTTTGCTAGCCACGACTAGTATCTACTGACCTAGCAGCAGGTAGCCGACGCACGGCATCATGCGGAAGATCTCGACGGCGTCCTGGAAGGAGCCGCCGCGCGCCGTCTCCGCCATGTTGATCAACTCCAGCCACGTCACCACGAACAGGTTGGCGAACTCGAACCAGTAGAACAGATCCCAGCAGAACCTATATAAGATTCAAGTTTAAATTAGGACCTACTTGACATCAGGGCTAAAGTCCGGTCGCCGAGCACATTTAATTTCGTCTTTCTTTCGTTCTTTCGTATCAGTCAAATGACGTCCACTACTGGACAAAGACCTCCCCCAAGGATTTTAATAACGACCGGTCCTGCGCTGCCCGCACCCAGATGTTTCCTGAGGTTGAGATTGCTTTGAAAGAAATTGTGTCTTGGAATTTTTGACTAATGTGATTTGTAAGCTTGGATTTTGGACTGTCACAGAATTGACCTGTTCTTGACAAAACATTATATTAAAGATTCAGTTGATCAATGGTACATGGACTTTCTATCCTAACCTTGAAGTCGCGTGCCCAGCATGTTACATTATTTTATTATTCATCTTCTAATCAAGCGAAATAGGTGCTGTTTTGCTACAAAAATTTAGTTTGATGTGCTATCGACTGTATCTATATTTTAGTTCAGCATTAAACTATTGAGTACCTATTGAGAAAACGTGCAACCCTCGACGCAATGACCCTTGGGAACCCTTGGGTAAAGTTACATATTTTTTATTACAACATAAAATATCAGACGACATAAAAAAAGATACGCTGCCTTCAATTTCTTCAAAGTGCAATAAAATTAAAACAATTGCAATATTATTGCTTCGATGTAATCAGGTTAATTGATAATAGGGGTGTGCGACGGCACCCTACTGTCGGGTATTGAACTATTGTCTCTGGACACACGGTGACAGCAAGATAGTTCGTAGGAAGGGAGGAAAAACACTGGCGCTGTGGCACTGGCATGACACAATTTTATAGTCACGAAAAAGTAAAAAAAAAAACAAAGTAGGTAAGTACCTATTTAGCTGAATTAGAGAGATTGATGGAATTTGAATAAATCCCATTGCAAAAATAATGTTGTAAATACACTCGACGTCAAATAAATCGCACCTCCCGCGACAAGCATTTTCAAACGTATGCATCCCCACTTCCCACCAATATTGGCACCACTTAAAAGCCTAGTTCTAACCTTCATTTCATTAAAGGAAAGGTTTTTACCCCAAAAATGTGACTTTAGAAGGATCCAGAGTCACTTCTTCAAAAAATAGGTAGTTAGTAAAGCCAACTTTTATGGCTATAAAATTGTTAAGTTGGGATTAATCGGTATCCATCTGTTAAAGAGGACACGTGAGGTCATTATTTGGTTTTATAACCATAAAAATGGGTCTAATTGATCCCACAGGTGGGCCCAAAGTAAGGTATTTTTTCAAGTCACATTTATGGTATATGTTAATCATTTATAAAGAAATTAAATGTGTTTTTCTTAAAGGATATTTATTGAGCTTTCAAATAACACCAATATTGTTGGGGCACCATGATTGTGTCAGAAGAAAATCGTTAAAGTTCGCGTCGCGGAAGGTGCGGTTTATTTGATATTGAGTATAGTTTTACTTATAATAAATATTCCAAAGCTTCGTTTGTGACATAGACTTGAGATAGTTATAAGATCTAAAAAGATCTTATTTACCAAGAGATAAATAAGATATAATAGCAGATAAGGAAAGAAAGAACAGTATTTATTTGGTACAAGTAAAACCAATAATTTGGCCGTCACATAACTTAGTGCTCCAATATTTCTACCATTAATCTGTTTCTATTACTCTTGGGGCAATAACGAATACCGCTTGTTCCCCAATTAGCGATTAATTTCATAGTGTTATTACGTGCTATGAATGCCAAGTAATCATTTATTGAGGAATACTAACATGCACTATCCACAAATTTATTATTTGAGAAAAGCAACCTGCTTTCTTTGAAAGATACGTTTTAAAGTAAGGGAAAAGACTCGGCCGAATAAGTACGAGGATAAAATAGGAATTTAAGTTTTTAAGCATTCATGTTTGAAACTGAACAAATGGGTCTTTTTTTCTCGACGGCCAAACATCACGCTGTAATACCTTACTGTATAATAAATGTCTTTTATTAAACCCCTAAGTTCTCAATTTCAAAAGAAGGAATTGTAAATAAATACTCACTTCACGAGCTTAGAATCTTTCCTGGTGACCCTGAGCCCGACCAGTTTCAGAATGGCCATAGGAATATCGTACGTGCAAAAATCAAAATCAAAAAAATCAAAATCAAAAATATTTATTCAGTTTAGACCACAAGTGGCACTTATGAACGTCAATAGAAAATAATAAAAAAAGAAAAAGGTAGCCCTTATGGGGCACTTTACATGTCTCCTTATCTTTTGGGCCCTACCAGCGCTTCGAGACAAACATATGGCAAGTGCTGAGAAGAAACGCCGGAACAAACTCAGTCACCACTTATTGCCAGGAATTATCTAACGGTAAGAATAGTCAAATTTAAGTACATCAAATATGTGCAGACTGAACTGACCACGCATCCTTGTCATCAATATAGTCTCGAACCTTGTAGTACCCTTTGGACATAAGGGTATTTTTTATATGTATCTTAAATTTGTTTATTGGCAATTCGACAAGGTTGTGTGGTATTTTGTTAAATATGGTAATACATTTCCCCAAGAATGAATTACCTATCTTATGCAACCTAAATGATGGAACAGCAAGTTTATTCTTATGTCTCGTGTTAAATGAGTGGACGTCACTTTTCTTAGTAAATAAATGTATATGTTTACGGACATACATAATGTTATCAAATATGTATTGCGAAGCCACAGTCAATAGAATGGTTATTGTTGAATCAACGTTTTCCAAGTGGCAATTTTCCATCGTCAATGGGTAGCGGTTCTGGCGACAGATTGGTGCAATGGTATCATGGAGCACCTGGTTTTGTACCCTTCAACGGCCAAGTCACACAACATTAACTATAATAATAAAGAAATCGCAGTAAGGAACCATAGACTTGGCACGACTTTGTCTAGATTTCATTACTTTTTAGAGATAAACAAGCAGCTCCATCGAGACTTGGCTAGTTTTTTACAGAATGTTTTTAGTGGGATAGGTATTAGAATATGTACTTCACCTCCACCCCCCAGTGTTGCATTTTATATAAATCCACCAATGAAAATAAATCCATGTATTCATTAGACAACATTTGTTGATAAACTGTTTATGACTAGTGCGAAACAAGTTTACCATAAACACAGGATTCTGAAACTTGGCCGTTCACACTTGCTCTCCACTCATAGGGGGGCGTCCATAAATTACGTGAGACAATTTTGGCTATTTTTCAACCCCCCCCCGCCCCCCTTGTTGAGATTTGGTGAGATTTTGCCTGACCCCCTCCCCCACCCCCTAATCTCACGTGATATTTTAAAAAATCCGAAATTTTATAGTTTTGGAGTAATTTAACTGAGAAAGTTTTTTTTGTGTGCTTAGTGCGAGTTTGCATTTACCGTCGCTAACGAGTGCATCAAAAAGATCTATAAAGTTTAAGATTTTAGTTCTTGAAAGTATCTGCTAGGGACGCTGTACAATCATCATACATTTAATGCATGTCATTGTCACGATCGATATAAAGTCGCACTAAGCTATTAAATTAAATAAAAATCAGTAAATAAATTGGGACAAGTTCAAATCAGCTGTTAGCGGTAGTGTTGCCACAGGAAAAAAAAAAAAAAGTTGCGGTTGTAGTCTTCCACGGAGTACACATATTTCTGCAAAAAAAGAAAGTTCATAAGCAGATTTTGTATGGCCAGCATCAACAAAAAAAAAGAAACAATCGGCCATCGGTCAACCTGAAAAAAGTTATTGTTTTTTTTTATTGCGTTTGCCTTTAATGGCCAGCAACTGCAAAACAAAGTTACCACTCATGTCTTTTGTTTTCTTTAATGTTCGTGACTAAAGCCTGGTCCGTGAGCACGTAGAATCCCGTCCAATGACCCCAAGCTACCCATCCCTATCGCTCGCACGTAATTATGTTGCTGTCGCGACTGTGCGACGGGCGCCCGCAGTGAGTGTGCGAGCGAGAGAAATGAGGTTTTCATCACTGAGGCTATTAATTTGTCTCAAAATCATAAAAAAAAAACAATACACGCGCTTTAAAATTATGTGGACTAGAATATGTTTATTTCACTTGGTAAGTAAGTACTAGAGTACACGAGCAAAAATAAGGAATGTTGAGCTGAGCATGATAATTTGAAAAAACTATTAATTAAGCACATTGATTGAAGTCTTTTTCTCGGCTTTCTTTCAGTCTTTCTTTGTTACATTAAGTTGATAACACCGATTAATTAAGTAGTCCAGTGAACAAATTATTTAATCTAGGATCACTTTATTTTCCTATCTTTGCTTGGCGTAGCTCTGTAGCCCTGTAGCGCTTGCAATGTATTCACATAAAGTAGCTACGAGAGGAACGCGTGAGATGTGAGCACGGAATTTGTGCAAGGCAGTGTAAAGAGCTAGAAGGCTACAAAGAGCCTTGCATCCTTGTACATCCTTGGCTTTGGCTAGGTCACACACTTTAGAATCCAAAGCATTGTAACGTAGACCACACTTTCCCAAAGATTTTCTGCATTTATTAAAGCACTCACTCTTTTTGCGGCGACTGTAGTGTAAAATGCAGCCCTAAGGACGTCGCACATTTATCAATCCGGAAAGGGATCGTAACCGTATCAACACGAGGCGGTCAGTATTCTTTGTATGAAACTCCACAATGCAACGCACTTATCCGCACCGTAACATTACGCCTCGCCTCGCAATAGACAGCTCGCGAAAGGCGATACGGTGGTATCCTTCCGTTTGGCCAAATTACTTTTCGCCAAATTTCACTTCGCAAACAACTTATCGCCAAAGTTTCATTTCCCAAATGAACTTTTAGCAACTGTTCTTTTCGCAACTAATTCATTTGGTCAAATTATCATTTGGTAAAATTTTACTTGGCAAATGTTTAATAGCAAATGTTTTATTTTGCCAAATATTATATCCCAAATAATTTGTTTGGTCAAATTGATACTTCACATACTTACCCACCGTTACCCACAAATCAAAGCATAAGGCACATGATCATGGTTTTCACAAGAATTTTATGTAAAACAAAGAGATTCCAGAAAATAGTATGGTTGCAAAAAGTAGGTATTGCAGAAAATAGTAGGTTAGGTTAGGTTAGAACAGTGACCCTTAATGCGCGAAGGCGAGCGAAGCGTGCCGCGGCAGCGGCCGCCGAGCGCTAGAATCACCTCTATTGTGAATGAATCATTTGGAAATTTCGATAAAGAGAATGAAATAAGAAAATTAATTAAGAACAAATTTTATATTAACTACCCACTAAATAAAATAATAACCACAAGCTAATTTGTATCCATTCTATGCACCAATCAAATTATTTTGTAAATAGTTTATCGTGAAATATTTTTGCCAAATGAAACATTTGGCAAAACATACTTTGCCAAACAATAATTTGCTAAACAATAATATGCCAAAAATTTTGCGAATTAAAAGTTTGCAATAAGTTGTTTTGCCAAATGAGAATTTGCCAAATAAACATTTGCGAAACGTTGTTTGCGATGTGATAATTTGGGAAACGTTTTTTGGCCAAACATTAGTAGTAATCCCGATACGGTGTTGATTCCTTTCCGAGTTGATAAGTCTGCTTTGAGCTTTACCCTGATTTTTCCAGAAAAACAATTTCTATTCTTGTATTTACCTGCTTTGCTACAATATTGACGTTGGGGTCTTTTGAACAACAGTTTTTCAGTAAATTCATCTTGATTCAAGTATTGGGAGGTAATGAATGTGTTTTGGATATTTGACTGAATTTTATAGGCTGAGTTTGGAGTTCTTTCAACGAATAGGTAAACCTTATTATTTATAATTCGATTAGTGGAACAAATAAAATTGGATTAATGGCGTTTTATTGTCAAACTTTTGTATGTATTAATACAAGTTTTCGTACATAACGGTTTCATAACACTTATTCTACATAAGTGCGAGTAAGTGTAAGGAACCTTTTTTGTGAAATTAATTCGTGTGAACAAAAGCAGATTTTTATTTCATTACTTTAGCAGTCAAACTTTATCAAAGGAACTTTTTGAAGGGCCTTAAAGGCGTTGTGTATACGTTACTTTTACAAACTAGTCTAACTTTAAGTTGTTAGTTACTTTACTAAAGTACCTATTTGTTTTGTGAGAAATTACTCAATCGGTGTAACAAAATTGTAATGAGTTTCACTCGTAATATAACATTTCTAAGAACTGCCAAAGGCATATTATTATCTTAATTTAACATTAGAACTCATAAACAAAATTACGATGCGAGGAATTTCTAATAAAGCTCGACCTTTTTATTTGTTACTTTGTGAATTTTACAAAACAATGAAAAAGTAAGTATGGTATCTAATTATGCCGTTTATTTCTACATTAAATTCCTCACGTTACTCAATTCAGAGGATAATTATTATAATGAATTTTACTGATTTCAAATAAGCTTTGTAAGCTAAAATGTGCTAAATTCGCAATTTTTTGAGCCAATGTTATTGTGAGTGATTTTATGGTTTCTTTTTTAAGGTTTTTAAGGTTGTCGTAACAGTTAAACTGATGGACAGATTGACTGACCTTTAAGGCTGATTCACACGTGTTAAGTTGTTAAGAATTTAGTAGCAAGTCGCAATTAGAGTTTACATGCAATTTGATCACTTAAAATTAAGTTAAATTTACATACATGTTCTACATAATACGTGTAAATCAGACTTTAGCGATTTTTACTTTAAATTTTGCAGGTATAATATGATTAAAGTAAAACCAGAATTACCGGCCGCGTCCGCCATGAATTTTCACCACAGACCATGAATTTTGGCGCGTAAACGATCCATTTCACTTTTTAAATCCTTGAGAAGTTGAGGCGATGGCGTAAAATTATTATGCCTCGGTTCCTACAAATTATTACAATCACGTTCCGAATCACTTTCCGCGATGGACTTTTCTTGTCGTCCGAAGCTATTTGCATCTTATTTTTTTTCACGAAGGTTGTTTTCTTTTTTTCCACATTGTTTTACAATTAAGGGCAATTAAAAAGGCTCCGAAAGTTGTTTTCAGTTTTTGCTTCGCTTTTATGGGGGAGCTTACGCTTAATGTGGAAATACAAATAGCTTTGAACAAAATAAGAAAAAGAGTTTTTTCTATTGGTTTTGGTACATACCTAACTTCAAGTTTATTATAATACCGACTTTTTACATCTTACAGCCTCTAGTCCTAAAATCTAAATTCAGATCAACTTAAGTCAGACTGGTTTCAGCTTTCAGAAAAATCATTAAAATTGGTTCTGCGATTTAAGTGGGAAAATGTGACAAACGAACAGATTAAGTTACTCTCTAATAACATTTTTGCAATCTATAATCTAATCTTGGAGAAATATTACGTCTGTCTTGTTTTTGCTACCTTTATATTGCTTAGCTCGATCACAAAACTAATCATATAAAACCGAAAAGGTTAATAAACATTTTTCAAAAATCTTTGATAAAATTTTATTCGATTCTGGCTATTTAATCGCAGATTTTAACGAGGCTTTCCTTGCAAGCAAAGTATGGTAGGCACGTACTGGTTCACTCCAATCAAATTGAATTTTCATGTCGTCTTGACTGCTTTAAGCAGCTTAAAGCTTTATAACTTTAATGCCTTTGCGTATATAAACTACTTACTTTATTTAAAAAAAAATAAGTGTTTGGCGGGAATTCGCAAACATGAATTATTTGAAGTTGAAGCGCCATTTTTTATTTCACACATTTTCTTCACGTTTTCTGAAAATTGAGACTACTAGGCGAGAAAATAAAGTTTGGATAAGGAAAATAAAAGCAGCTAATTGATGTTTAATCGAAAATTAATTTTAAAATTGTGGAATTAACCACGAATTGACAAATGAAAACTGTAAATTTTCTCTTATCGGAAAGTCGAAAACCATTTTTAATGTAAAATTAAATATCAAATTATCAATTTCTAAGAGGGCGTATTATGTATGAGTTTGCGTCAAACGCATTCGATCGCGATGTCGATTGCGTAAAAAAGTGACATTTATGTTCACGGATTAGACAGCGCCATAGCGGAAACTTTCAAGAACTAAAATTTTCATATCATTTTTAACGCGCTCGCTAGTGACGACGTTTGATGTAAACTCACACTAAGCCCTCTTAATATCACGTGGGTGCAGTCACAGGCAGAAACTAGTATTTTAATAATGAAGCCACAGTTTATTAGGACAAATAAATAGTGCTACAAATGACAAGATGCCGTTCGTCAGTATTTGTTCTTACAATAAGCATTTATATTTTGGAGTTGTCCAGTGTAGTATAACGACTTCCTTAATTGAATTTTGAGGCGGAGGTCGCACACTCACGACCAAAGACTTGGTATACCTACTACTTAAGTAGTATTAACCTTTAACCGACGACGTGCGGTCTCACAGACCGCTCCGGTTTTTGAAATTTCTGGATTGCAATGTTCTACTTACTCCCGTGTCCCGAGCGTCTCAGTACCTTCGAGTTTAGTTACCCATACGCCATTACAGGTAGTGGTTACATCGATGAGGGCAGTTTTAATAAGATAATTCGATTCAAAGTTCAACAGCGGTCTGTGGGACCGCACGTCGCAGACTACGTAACATTTTTGCACCATACTAAAACTTTCGTTTTTGTTTTAGACGACTGATTTTTAAAAAAAATGATGGATCCTGGGCCATCACAACCTAGAGAAAGACATTTCCTAATATTAGACATAATATTATGTAAAATATGGTAGTCTGTAAAAAAAATACCGTGGAACGGGTGGTAAAGCAAACAGTGACATGATTCTTGGCTCTGACATGCCAAATCAGCCTGATGTGATTGCACCAGCTGCAAAAAAGATGTACATTTTAGTCCACCTAAATTGAAAACGAAATTATCTTACAGGTTTTACCTATTCATACCGAAAATGCTTGGCATGCGGTAAAAAAATATGTTCAGATTGTGCCTAATGTTTATCCTACGTCAAATTTTTTTGTGCATGTAATGTACGTGTCATTTATTTTTATTTTATTCATTATGTTCATTATATTTACGAAGGAGTATAGTTTTTCTTAATTTGATTAAAATTAACAAGTTTTAAAGGTATTATTGAGCTCTAGTGTAATTTCAATGAAATTAAGGGTCAAAAAAGTTTTAGCCATATTTAAATAAATAATATACATTAATTCCCCACAAATTATATGTATGTTTATTTGTAATACTATAATGTTCTCAAAAAATATAAAACCAATATACTTTTATACAAAAAATGATTATTTTTGAGTAAACAGTATAGCGGTCCCACAGACCGCACGTCGCAGACGACGTGACAAAAAAATCACGTCGTCGGTTAAAGGTTAAGTAACTTAAATTGATTTAAAAATAAGTATCCAGCTAGAAGTTTTGAATGAATGTCTGTTTTGGGTGAATAAACATCTGTGTTGAAGTTTAGTGAATATGTTTTTTTAAGTAAAGTAATAATTTTGCTCGCGCCAACTCAAGAAGGAATTAGTGGAATTAACTTATTAAGTAAGTACAGCCATAATGTTTTATAATCTGTGGTCTCTGGTTTCTTACCCCCTTACATATAAAAAGTTACACAGTTGTTGAACACTGTTTTAAAATGATATTTCCATACTAAACGTCACTTTAAAACACTGTTCAATGAGCGTGTAAGTTTTATTAGCAAGGGGGTTAGAAAACGTGAATATTTAGTTTTCATTATTAAATTAAATTAATTTAATTTCCTTAAATGTAACCTTTCTTAACTAGGTGTGTGCAATGTGAATGTGAAGCGATAGAAGTAGGTTGGCATTTTTTAAAGTTAAGTAAACCTTGTCTAGATAACGAAGTGGGATCCGCTAATTCTTATCATGTTTAAAATTTACATTTTCCTAGCAAAATAAGTTTCGTGACATAATTTACTAATTTCAAGGCCTAAGAAATTAAGAGTTTCATAGTTATAAGTGCTTTTAGGCATGGTCAGGAGTAAAAATCGCGAAAAACTAATTCCGTCATTTCCCAAGTGGACCTTGAAATTCCTGTCCATCAATCAAAATTCGTGATCGAACATTTAGCCTGCAAATTGGCATAATTGAACCGAAAAAAATGGTGTCATTCGCCGTTTGGACGAATTCAATTTTAGGCCCCCATCAGTGAAGGTCGTAAAGTTAGGTTATTAAGCTGCGTAATATCAAATCAATTAAGTGTAAAGATTTTAAATAAAGTCTCATAAATATTCATAATTTTCCAAATTATAACACCATAGTTATAATTTGGAATCAATATAGGTAATTTAAAATCTCAACTATACGTGACCATACACAGATGCATTTGTAACAAATTTTTGATCATAAAGGTCCACAACAAAATAAATCTTCATTATCTTTTGATTATATTCCAGGCGATGTACTTACCTACTTACCTATGAACTTCGTCAAACCCAAATCAAACAATCTCATAGACGTTAGGCGTATTTATCTTCAAAGTGAAACAATTAGCTAATGACTTTAAATTAAGGTAAAAGGTACCTACATACGTCACCAAAATATTAGCAAAATTGATGCAACAACCAGTAACTTTTCTAATGCGGGCTCCAGTTTTGGACCCTGTGTTCTAATGAACGCCATTTTTCCTCCTTTTCATTTTGTTCCGTAAATTGTGGTCATTAGTTCGCGAACCAGCGCCTTAATTTTTCAAATATCCTTGGTTTGTTTTAAAACAAAATGGCTAAAGCCGGAAGTTAGTAGATGGGATTTTAGAACTTTGACACATTAACTTCTGGACCTTTTTTTAAATCGTCTATAGTTCCTGCCACTCACGAAGGCGAGTGAACTTTACTTGTGTGTGTACGTGTACATGCACATAACGATAGTGTAATGTCAATGTCTATCAAAACTTTTGAAAAACGAACAGTAGTGAGCCACCACACATGTAAGCTCACTCGGCTTCGTAAATTGCAACAAGCATACATATTTGAACATGTTCAAAACTTCAAAAAAATACTTTAAGGCTTCTTCGTTTTGATGGAAATACATTGTAGGCTTCAAATAACTCGATAAAACTGACTGAAAATATGAAAAAGATGAAAAATGAGTCAGATTCACTCGATCAAGCTACTAATGACGTGTTATGAAGGCAGGTACGTTAGGGTTAGTTCACACAATAGAATAGGTTGACCACAGATAACAAATAAATTGAAACCCTTGAAAAGGAGGCTGACAATAGTGACTGAGTTTCTTGCGCTGCTTCTTCTCAGCACTGGCCCATTTATTGTCCCGAAGCAGTGGTAGGGTTAATATTGGGACGTGTAAAAGTGCTTTTTAAAAGCCTATTTGTAAAAATAAATGAGTTTTATGAGTTCTTTGTTTGATGGACGATTCGCATTTATGAAACTTATATCGCGTCTGAGCTAGAGATGGGTTTCCACCCGGGTAAAAACCCACATGAGGGTAAAAACCCAATAAAAACCCGTTTCATTCCACCCGTGGGTGTTTACACCGGGTGAAAACAAATAATTTTATAATTATTTCAATTGGTATCTTTTCTTTATTTTTATTGAATTTTTCTCATTTAAGTTTATTGATTAATAAGTAATAAGTCAAATTTAACACTAATATGCATTTATATCGTGGCCAAATCGTAAAATTGATCACGTTATGATGTTGTGACCAATTATTTTATAAAATTGTGTTATTTCAAGAATCGTTGAACCGATTTAAAAGAAATTTAGTAGGAACACAATAATTTGTGATCATGGCAAGGACATGGAGGGGGGGATGCCAAAGATGCCAAACTATCTCTTTGATGACATTACGGTATAACGTTACAAATAACAACACCAACTACAAAGTACTTCTGCTTGAAAACTTGAAATCGACCGCCCTTCCGCCACTGTAACGCATTGTAACGTTTTTCAAGACCTCCTCTCCCCCCAGATTGCTTTACGTAACACTAGAACGCCCCCTTAGCAACAAATACCACTTCTCACTTTAAAAAAACGCTATTTTTGTTTTCACCCACCAGAATGGGTGATAATGGGTAAAAACCGGGTTTTTACCCAAATCACCCAGTTTTAACCCAATCGGGTGAAATGGGTTTTTACCCACTACCCATCTCTAGTCTGAGCACCTTTGTATAGGTTGGTTTGTATAGGCACTTATGTACTAGTGTGCATAAAGGCAGTTAGGCATTTAATCTACCTAATGCCAGAAGTAGTTTGACAAAAATAATTTTATTACATTTAAGCGAGCAGGATTCTTTTGTAGATACATTTTAGAATTTAAGTTACTACCTACCTAAATACACACCTTTAGTACCACCCTATAGGAAAAAGGTTTTTAAATGTTCCCTGGACAAATTCAATCCAATTTATTTACTTAATAATAGACCACGCAATTTGGTAATTCTGGAGAAAACGGGACATAACGACGACCCACCGGTGACCAGTTTTAAGTACGAAAGGTCTTGTACACTAATATTATAAAGAGGAACGATTTGATTGTCAGTTTGTATTGAACAGGCTCCAAAATTACTGGACCCATTGAAAAAATATTTCACCTTCAGAATCCTACATAATTTCTAACAAACATAGGTGGTACGAAGTTCGCCGAGTCGGTCAATCCAGTTATAAATCGCAAGTGTGCGCCACCATCGCGTGCCATCCCATTGTCAATTAATATACCACCAAATAGAGAGGCGATTGTATTGGCTCCTTGTAGGGCTGCCTAACGGCCAATTACGCTGGCCTCGCAGCCCGCCCGAAATTATCCAAGCGAACTACTCCTTGGCACGACACTTTGACACTTATTAAAAAGACAATTAAATGATATTTTTTTATGAGCTGCCAGAACGCGAATCCCATGTCGATTTGCGACTTTGTACGGAGCACATCAAGCTAAACTCAGTGGCGTCTTTTTTCGTTGTATTACAAGCTATTTTGTAACAAAAATGTAGGTATAGTCTGATATACTGTCGACTGTACTTGAGAATTGAAACTCAATTTGATGCTTTGACGTTACACGTGCGTGCCTAGGGTTGGATTTTTCAATCGTTAAATAATAACTTTTAAACTAAGTAAACAACTCATGCTTATACAACTTTCTATCCAACAAACTTATTCTGGCAATAGTCTAAAATAAAAGTTTGCAAACATCGCGGCGTTGCTCGGTTGAAATCAAAATTACATATTTACAATTTAGTTGCTTGTATAATGTAAAACTGAAGGCTTCATAAAATTGCTAATATTAAATTAAATAACAAGAAATCGTATCGATATTCTGCAGACCTTTACAAACGTCAAACCATGTAACAAAGTTTTAATTACGTATTTTCCCTTGTGGGAAAAGTTTGATAAAACGACAAAAGAAAAGGAACAATAAACTTCACACGTGCCATTGGCAGAATTACGTTTCCCAATACCCAAGTCTTTGCCATAAAGGAGAAAAAAAAAAGTTAATAAGTTTTTTATCTGTACCAAAACCTCTAAATACGACTAAATGAAATTCTTCGCCAGACCGGGTACCTACTTGCTTACATTAAACGGAGTTAAATGAACCTACTAACTTGTTGCTACAAAACTTTTCTTACAGTAAAAATAATCAGGTGTTTATTTTCCTTGCTTGGGTAGCAAGGAAAATAATAAATTTTACCAATTTACATTCAAAATTACTTGTTTTTCTTCCATGAATGATAGTAACTTTCAAGGATACGTATTTGCGTAGCCGTTTTGTAGAAGAGCGAGTGTTTGTTATTCTTGTTCCTCTCTTGCAACAAATACACCCTTAATTCTTGATGCCGCAGAAATTGTATATTGTCGTGATTTTTATTCCTGTGAGATTATGAAGGCGGACGTGTTCATAAAAAGAAATGACTTCTATTATATTATGAGAAGGCGTTAGGAATATAAAGCAAACAGCTTTCTTTACAATTCAAGAAAACTAACTCCATCACCGCGTAACGTACGCCTAGAGAAATTGCGATTTATTCATTATGCTTTTGTTAACATAAAAAATCAACATAAACGTGTGGTAAATTGAAAAAAAAACCTGTTACTTACAAAAGTCCTCGGCCGACAAGAGTCCTTTGCTCTATCTTTTAGATTTCAATTTTCTCAACAGTCAACAGGATGGACATAGTTTTCTCATTCTTTCAATGTGTAAAAGTTCTCTTTGAGAGCCTAAGTAATTACTTACTGAAATTAAATGAGTTTACAGATTTTCTTTATGTAGAAATTGACAATGGATTCAAATTAAAGTCTAACTTAAGTGATCTGTTACATTATGTATTTAATCATTGAGGGCAATGACACACATCTTTTCATCGTCACGAATGATTCACCTCATTGAAATTAATTCGATTCAATATCCCTGTTTGGACATTCTAAAAATAAATTAGTTTATTTATAAACTCTGGCTTTCCTGTTAGAATTATTTATAAATCGATATTTTAATGACCCTTTTCCGGGTGTCTCTCATTTTAAGCCAACTGATTGTTGTCAATATAAAAACATACGGGTCGAATTGAGAACCTCCTCCTTTTTTGAAGTCGGTTGAAAATAGGTCTATGACTTTTCAAAATTTTATGCTTTATGAAAAGTAATTTGGATAATCTTGAGCCCATAAATAACTATTTATACTAGCTTCAAACTACTTTCACCAAGGAAAATTTTGTAAGGAAATCACAGAATTCAAATCAAATTGACGATTGATGAACTGCATGGTGATTCCCCTTTTGGTAATCAAGCTTACAGTTACTGCCTCGCGGTATCCTCATTTGGTACGAGGAAAGCAACCAGTCGTGTAACCGTCAAAGAAGAATAACCTCTATTGTTACGAACTCTCGCAATTTGGACAGCGAATGTTCTATGAACAGTCGCGATCACGTTACGTAATAAGGCCATGATTCGCGCCTGCGGATACAACTGATCCAGAGATATGTAGCGAGCCCAATTCGAGTCAGTTGAACGCTCGCCACGCGCAGAGCCTGTCTGCTCCCACCCTAATAATGTTCGACAAACAAAACGCAAACGCGCGAATTTCGAATTCGGAATAACTTTGCATTCGTTTGTTTTTGTTTTTTTATTGCAGTGGTCACGGTTTGGATTTTAATTTTTTAGTCAGTATAACTAGTGGAACATGTGGTCGTTTTAGTGATTTGCCTGTGTTTGTGTAGTTAAAAAAGTTTTTTTGTTTGAAAACTATTGAAGCAAGTTCATACCAAGGCAGCAACAAAAAGGTAAGTTTACAAAAACTTTTTTAAGAACTTTGGATTGTTTAAGTTTGGTTTGTACTCGTAATTATAGTAAGTAAGTGTACAGTCTTAATAATCGTTGTGGTAAGTAATGGTTTATAATATTTTTTTATTTAGGAGAATAAAAAATAAAAATCTTTACCTATTGTAATATTAGGTAGGTTAATTAAATAAGACAAAGTCTAATGTTAGGCTATTTTTTATTTATGTTTTCTACCAGCAGGCTCACATAAAAGTTTACGAAGTTAGCCTATATTACTTAACTACTTAATTGTAGACAATAATTCTAGATATTATTATAAGATATTTAACCAGCAATTTATAAATGCAAAAATATTTTGCCTTTACAATTTTCGAACTTCTTTTTAACTGTCAGATTTTGTGTGGTGTGGAAAATGAAATATCTTCCTATCTACTGATATGATAAACATAGCAATATTAATATCCAGCTAAACTTTCAGTGACCCTCAACTCCAGGCACAAACATAAGC